CTCCGGGGGTCCTGCCGGTCTCTGGCGAAACATCATCAGTGGACAATCTGACGTCATCAATAGGACCAAATTTGAATTTACAGAGCGAAGTGCTGCAGCAGGCAAAAGGAGCACCAACGACGTTGTCGGCTAAGCTCATCCGTCCGATTCCACTTCATCCGGTGCCCCCTCCCCCATCTTCCAAAATGGCCGGTCATAATTTGAATAACAAGTACACGCCGCCACCCACAAGGGATCCATCGCCTTTGTCGCTGAAGCTCGCAACTACGTCGTCGTCCGAGGAGCAGTCACCTAATACGGCGTCGTCTCACTCGTCTGCGTTTCAAGGCATGTCCAGTGGCTCAGATAGCATCATCAGCGTGGCTTAATTAAGTAATGAACAAGTTGATGCGGATGTATGTCGTACGTGTGTGTTATATATATATATATATATACGGCCGGCTATAGCTAGCTAGCAGCATGATGGGAAATGAAGATTAATCATTGGTGGGCCTAAATCCTAATTAATTAGATCGATAAGATAAAAGTGGATTTGGACGGAGTAATTAGAGTAGTCTAAAAGGGGGTTAGGTTTATGTAGCTAGGTGATTTAGGTGATTAATTTCTTTTTTTTGTACAGGGATTGGGTTGGGTTTAATTTAGAAAGAGTTATATTATTATTAGGACAAGATGGGATGTGGATCTCAGACTTACTCCTCTCTGTGTGGGGGATTCTAGTTTTAATTTTGTCTGCTTCCTTTTGTAGTGGAATGATAAAGAGCACCAGGTGCGCATTGTTATTTGGTCCTCTTCCTCTGGACCCTTTTGCTTGCAGATTCAACTAGCACAAAATAATATCTCAATATTCGATCTGTTTATGTACAACTTATAATATTTATTTGTGTATACATATATTTTGTCGTCCTTGTTTTCTTTGAAAACTAGCTAGCACTAGAAATCTTTCATATAATCAAGATTGAATCTTGTTCCATATAATATAATAAAATCGATAAGCAACTTAAGTGCGCATAAAAAATACTAGAAAAATATTAGGTATATCATATTTTATATACCACTTTGTGTATTGGTGGACTAAAAAATAGTATATACAATACGATCGATAGATTAATTGTTGATTAGTATTATAATACATTACGTCCTTTTCGGATTCAAATTCTTATGATTGTTGAGGATGATCTCTCAAACCAATCAATTGGCAAGCATTATTTTCCAAGAATATGAAAGCAGTGTGGTAACACACACCGATTGAATCTACGGAGTCGAGTTCAAATTCAAAGAACGTTGGTTGCCATGCCACATTATTATTTTTTCTTGTTCCATGCCATCACACACTTTACTTAAGGGTTTATACGTAGGTTTATGTACATCAATTAATTTACGATACATCAATGAATGTCACAAACTAAAGGTTTTGTGTAAATAATCTACAATTACAATCATCAACTTACATATAGATATGCATAAGTGAATATGAGAAACATGAACATGCTAGATTAAATATAAGACATCATAATTAACAAATTGATGCATGCAAACGAGTACAATATATACTTACTTTATCCCAATACGTGCTGCTGATCGTTTTGGTTCTTGTGAATTTGTCATGTATCCTTCTGATAAAATCTTCAGCTTTCCCATCCACATCAGCACTCGCATAGGATGACGACGACAATTGATCCTCTGTAATTGGTACTTGCATCACCACGTCTACTTTGGTCATTTTACGACCATGAGCAGGCTCAAGTGATCTGACGCATGACGTTGCTCCAAAACTGTTGTTAGCCAGAGACAGAGATGAAAGTTTGATGATGTTTGCCACCAACACCATTGATTTCTCACATAGGGACATGTATTTCTTCTTATCGCGTTGTCCACCCTTGTGTTTCATGGCTTCCTGATCGATGAGCTACTTCGTTTTCCTAAGCTGAAATTGCAGAAAAGAAATAACAACGAAATATAGGGTTTTTAAATGGTTATGAACTTATGATCATCAGCTTATAATCGATACTCCATATATATAAACAAAATAAATATAACGGAAATGTAATTGAAAAAAAGAAAAAGGAAGCAAAGTCAAATTGTTCTGTTCGCTTCTGTGGGGTTCCCGATCAAACTAGATGATGATGGACGCTATTTATTTGTATTGCAATGAGAAGGAAGAAGAGTGGATTATCAATACTTTATAATACTTTATTTCCATTTTGAATATCCTTCGAAAAAGGTGGCAAAGGAGAACTAGATTCTGACATTTTCTGAGTGTGTGTGCTCTATCTTAATCTGTAATTACTTAGACACACTCACACAACACAGATGCTAGGACTCGAACTCAGGACCTTATATGAGGGAATAATTACTCAAAATCACTATACTATTAGGTCCTTTGCTACTTTAGTAGGAGTTTAATTAGTCATCAAGTTAATAAAAGAAAGCTTGGTCACGATTCTCTCTCTTTTCCATTTTCAAGAGCCATTGCTTTCTGATCATTTGGATTGGTTCTTCTATGGCCACCGTAATTACAAACATATATCTTTTGGTCCCTCAAAAAGACTACTGTTTTTCTTTCTAATGAGCTGGTTGTCGACGTCTAGTGCCTAATATCCGAATATCTTTCTGTGCAGTTTGGTTGTGTTCACATTTCAAATCAACGGCATTTGCCTCATTTCATAATCTATGTGTGTATCTGATGTATTGCCTTCAATTCTCTTTCATGGTCATCAATTCTAGCATCATTTTATCTTCTTTTTCTGCTACATCCTCCTTTTTATCTTCAATATAATTTCGTTTTCAAGCATGGGGCAGATGTTGCTAGGAGATTCGGTGTCGCTCCTTGTTTCTTGGGAATTCGGTCTCTTAGAGTATCTCCAAGAGAGTCTCCAAATATTACCCAAATTCTAGCTAAAAAATGTTTCTTCCAACAATGTTCTCTATTTTGGATTTTAAAAGGTGTTTCCTCTAACAATGTTTTCTATTTTGGCTAATCTGAAATATTTTATTACTATTTTCTCTCTCTTTCTTCCTCTTTCTCTTGCAAATCCAATATATTTATAAAAAAATGTAGAACCCAACCCCACCAACCTCTCAAATGTCTCTATCTCTCTCTCCTTTTTTCTCTCTCCTCCTAGCCAAATTCTCTCTCCTTCTTGCTACATGTAGAGAGCCAAGTAAGGAGTCTGCTGGAGGAGTATTTTCCTTATTTTTAGCCAAAATAGCTAGAGATGAGAGGATAGAGAGTTTGTTGAAAATGCTCCTAGGCACTACTCACAAACATGAGCATGTACACAATCAATTGTTAATATCTCTAACCTAAACGGAAAAGTTCGTAAATCACATTATGTCAATGATTGTTTGGTCTAGTGGTATTCAATCTTTAATTTGCTAAAGTAAATTCGGATTTTAAATATATTTAATTACTATTGTTGAATTTAAAAACAAAAACAAAAACAAAAACAAAAAGAAATTCCCAATTATTTCGTACTTGTTAAATTTGGCCCAATAAAAGAGGTGCCGATATAGGCCCAATAAACTAGCATGCAGGGAAGAAGCCCTCATTTAACCCAAAAATCAATGTGAGAGTGATGGCCTAACCCAAGTGTGGGGCCCTACAGTAATCCTACAGTCGTTAGAGCAACTCCAGCGAGGAGACCAACCTCTGTCTAGGGGGAGAAAAAAAAAAACCCAGTTCCAGCGAGGAGCCCAAGCTCGGGTTGAGAGTGGGACCCACGAAGACGGGCTGGCTCGAAGGCAGCTTTAGCCCGAGTTCGAGCTGCTAACGTCAGCCCTGCGCTCCACCTACAACTAGAAGACATGTGTCGTCGTCTGGGCGCTCCGATCACTTGCTCTTCTCCAATCCAACGGCTGAGCTTTTTTTTTGCTATAAAATTATGAAAAAAATTAAAATACCAAAAAATTCGGGAATTTTTTTTCTATAAATACCTACCAATACTCTTCACTTTCAACACTAAATCCTCATACATTTTCTTCTACTTATACTATTATTTGGGCTTTTTTTTTTTTGCAATAAAATTATGAAAAAAAATTCAATTTTTTTATAAAAATACCAAAAAATTATGGAATTTTTTTAAATAAATACCTACCAATACTCTTCACTTTCAACACTAAATCCTCATACGTTTTCTTATACTTCTACTATTATTCACTTTTTTCTCAACATTTTATTACTTTTAAATTGTATTTTTATTTATCATCTTATCCAAAAATTTTATCCGATTGAGATATGAGTTTTATAATAAATATTGACACGTACGAACTCAAAAATCTTATTCGAAAATATTATCCAAATTAATTGTTTAGATAAACAAATTTGTGAAAAAAATAAAAAAATAAATAGTATTTGCCTTTTGCCATGACAACGGGTGGAACCACCACACATTGCTTTTTACAAGGGCAGCTATTATTCACGTGAATAGTAGCTGCCCTAGTTTCCCCTTGCCATGACAAAGGGCAAATGAGTGAGGTTGCTCTTAAAGGCAGAGAATGGTAAAACAATCAAAATACCAGAAATGCCATTGGTTAATGTAAACATTAAAAATTGAAATTATTAATTAAATGAGGATAATGAAACACAACTATCCATTATCTTTTTTAATTCTAAAATAAATTTAAAAAAAAAAAAAAAAACCTTTCACAAACACGGAAGCGCGTGCGAGGCTAGTAATAATTAAAAAAAGGGAAAATCAATGAAAAGTATCATTTTACCTTAAAAAAGGATGACAAAGATTATTCCAAACAAATGATAAGCGATGATGAGTGGGTGGATTTAGAGCTTATTAATCAAACTACTCTTTAAAAACTGGAGCTTTCAGTGCTTGTTTGTCTCCACTCCACTCAACTTAAACCCAAGATTAAACATCATTAATTAAGTAATTAATTAGATTAGCATCCCTAAATTAATTAGTTGGCCTGCCATTTAAGCCACGTCACGGACAAAACGACGCCGTAAGCCCCATAAAAAGCCCAAATATCAGGTGGCTAGCAGTCAAAACTCCAAGAACTGGTCCCCTCCTCTGTAGACTGAAAACCACAGTCAAATGGCGTGTTCCATTTCCCATCTACCTCAACCTCCACCATCGCCATCATCTCCACCACAACACCCACGCTCTTCGCTGCCCTAAATCCCACATCCAGAAAGAAAAAAAAAAAAAAAAAACCAGAAAAACCCTAAAAATGAAGATCTTTTTGGGCATTGTCTCACTGGTGCTCTGCAACTCCCTCTTCTGCTACTCCATTGAAGACGACCTCACTTGCCTTGAGGGGGTCAAGACCTCACTCACAGACCCACAAGGGAGGCTGAGCCAATGGGACTTGGGCAACAGGTCGGTGGCCTCCATCTGCAAGCTGGTCGGAGTGTCGTGCTGGAATGAGAAGGAGAATCGACTCATCAGCCTCCAGCTTCCTTCAATGGAGCTCGCCGGTGAGCTCCCTGAGTCTCTCAAGTTCTGCCATAGCCTCCAGAGCCTTGATCTCTCCGGTAACGCTCTCTCTGGTTCCATCCCTCCCCAAATCTGCAATTGGCTCCCTTATCTCGTAACCCTAGATCTCTCCAACAACCACCTCTCCGGTTCCATCCCTCCGGAGATTGTCAACTGTAAGTTCCTCAACACTCTCATTTTGAATGATAACCGTCTCTCCGGTTCTTTGCCCTATGAGCTTGGCCGGCTCGATAGGTTGAAGAGAATCTCCGTCGCTAATAATGGTCTCTCTGGTACGATACCTCCGGACTTGTCTAAATTTGAGAAGGATGACTTTGATGGGAACAGTGGGCTGTGCGGGGAGCCTCTTGGGTCTAAATGTGGTGGACTGAGCAGCAAAAGCCTCGGCATTATAATCGCCGCTGGTGCAATTGGTGCTGCTGGGTCTTTGATCTTGGGTTTGGGGATATGGTGGTGGTTCTTTGTTAGGGCGAGTCAGAAAAAGCGAAGCTTTGATGGTGGTGTTGGTGGTGATAAGTATGGGAGTGGTTGGGTTGGGTTGTTGAGGTCTCATAAGGCTGTTCAGGTGTCTCTGTTTCAAAAACCCATTGTGAAAGTCCGGTTGGCTGATCTGTTGGCGGCCACCAACAGTTTTGATCCCCAAAACATTGTCATTTCCACGAGAACTGGTGTTTCATATAAGGCTGTCTTGCCTGATGGTTCGGCAATGGCGATTAAGCGGCTTAATGCGTGTAAGCTTGGTGAGAAGCAACTTAGGTCGGAGATGAATAGGTTGGGGCAGCTTAGGCATCCCAATTTGGTGCCTTTGTTGGGGTTTTGTGTTGTGGAGGAAGAGAAGCTTTTGGTGTATAAGCACATGTACAATGGCACATTGCACTCTCAGTTGCACGGAAGTGGTAATGTGAACAGCCAGTATGGTTTTTTGGATTGGCCAACACGCCTAAGGATTGGTGTAGGTGCAGCCAGAGGACTTGCCTGGCTTCACCATGCTTGTCAGCCGCCTTATATGCACCAGAACATTAGCTCGAATGTGATTCTTCTTGACTATGATTTTGAAGCTCGTATAACGGATTTTGGGCTGGCGAGGCTGGTTGCTTCTCGTGATTCCAATGATAGCTCGTTTGTCAATGGGGATTTGGGAGAGTTTGGTTATGTGGCTCCTGAGTACTCGAGCACAATGGTGGCATCGTTGAAAGGGGATGTGTATGGGTTCGGGGTGGTTCTTCTGGAATTGGTGACTGGACAGAAGCCTCTAGAAATTGTTAATGCAGTGGAAGGATTCAAGGGGAATTTGGTGGATTGGGTGAATCATTTATCAAACGCTGGTCGAAGCATGGATGCCATAGACAATATCTTAGCAGGGAAAGGTCACGATGATGAAATTTTGCAGTTCATGAGGGTTGCTTGTACTTGTGTGGTTGCTAGGCCAAAGGACAGGCCTTCCATGTATCAGGTTTATGAGTCATTGAAGGTCTTTGCTGAGAAACATGGTTTCTTCGAACAGTATGATGAATTTCCATTGGTCTTTGGCAAGCAGGTTCCTGAATCTTGATTTTATACAATAGTCAGGCAGGGAGAGTACTAAAAGTGCAAAATACTGCAGCATTTGGGCATGCCTTCATTGTATTCATATGAGAGGCATTTTCTGCAATTGGGATGGTTTCCGGTCGGTTGGGCATGATTTCCGTGTTCTAATGCTCATTTGTTGAATCATTGTGTATTATAAAGAAGCATTATATGCATTGTAACGTTTCTGTAATCCAGAAAATCTCTGTTTTCAGTTATAAAATTGCTCCCTCATCTGTTCTAATTTCTGCAGCCTTTTTTCCATTTTCATCATGCATGCATGGATTCTTAATGCTAGGTGTTTTGATGATGAAGTTCTGTGGAATTAAGTTCCTTCATTAGGTTCTGCATTTGGTAAATCCAATTTGTCTACCATGTTTAGATCTGGAACCTTTTTTGATGGATCTCATGATTTGAAAAGGCAAAACCAGTGTGAATGCATCTCAGCCTCCTCTGTCTTCTCATAATTGGAAGCATTCAAATCCAGCAAAGAAGTCACCTTCTCATACTTTATGAATTTTATCCAATCTCTGATAGGTACCCTAAACCTTGGCCCAACCACTTTGCAAGGGTCAATTATATTTAGAGTCAAGACCGTTTTGTATTTTTCTTTACACTTTCACCCTCCGCTCATATCAACAACTCAACACACAGCAGCATATAAAGCCTGGATGGAATTCAATGAAACAAATCATATACGTCTTGTATTCAATGACGTTTTCTTTTCTTCGTTTCATTCCAATACCATATAATAAAGAAGAAAAATGTAAAAAGGCCACCGCGGTCTTCTCGTGATAGCATTAAAACTTTTGTGCTGAAAAAGATTTAAGAATCATCATCATCATCATCATCATCTGGGTCATCATAATAAATCATATAACCCAAATATTTATCACGTATCTTTCAGCTTCAGTGGGGTTCATTCCGTATGATATGATGGGGCTTTAATTTAATTGACCCTACCCAAACAGACCCTGCCATGTGGGGCGGTATGAAATGTCTTTTTGCGACATTTTGGCCATTTTATGTGCCTGGTTGAAGTGGTTAGGAGGGTGCGTTGAGATATGATTGACCACATGGTCCCCAATCCCCAACCCCATTGGGTATATGGAGTAAGCCAGCCCTGTGACATTTGAATTGGCTCGCCCACTACGTGATTGCAATCAATAAAGCTCCTTTAGCTACAATCTAAATATGTGCCAGTATAAATTGACATCTCAACTTGGAGAGCAAAAGCCAAAAGCATATCTAAGTTGTTGAGAATCAGACATAGGTTAAGCCGGTTGCTCAAGATGTAGATTAATTTAATACAAATTTATAAATAAACCCAATTCTAGACATGTATTTATAAAAAAATCCAAACACTATTTAAATATAGAAACACACCTAAAATCAACCCCAAAATCAAAAATTGTATATTTTTTGGGTGTGTTTATAAATGGGTTTTGAGTGTGTAATGATGAGTTTTGGGTGTTGGGTTTTTTTATAATTTCAGCCCCCATTTTGGGTGTTTTAGTGAAACTCCCTTAATTTAAAGTGTCGCTTGTATAGGAAAAAAAATGGTGGAAAAAAAAGACTTCACTGTAAATGGGGTGGGCTGGAGTTAGATATATGAGGCGAACGAAACGAGATGTCGTAATCTCATTAAACTGCGGTTTAGTTGCAAAAGCCCAAAGTCGAGTGCCGTAGCCCAACTCTTGCGGCCCAAAAGTGAGTCTGCCAATTATTGGGGCAGTTTTATAATATCAAGAACATCAGGGGACTCCAGTGAAATAAATAAAAAATATGAAAACTTCTCCTAATTTAGCAGAAGAGAAGAGAAAGCTAGAGGCGAAGAGAGAGCAATTATGCCTTCAGATTCATCACTCTTTCTCCTGCTTTTCTTCTTCTTAGCCTTCGCTCTGCTCTCAGTAGGCCACGCCACGTAAGCCCTAACACTAGAATATATATATATATATATATATTTATGTGTGTACATGTATGTATGCGCGTGAATATTTGATTTATGTGATCAAGTGCAGTTGAATTTAGAAATTTTTTGGTCTGGTTTTGATATTCAGAATCCAAAGCGATGAAAGCGAAGGAATTGGGCGCAGAGCGCTGCTGAGTCTAAAAGAAACCCCTCGTGGAAGTAACACTACCTTCGAATGCTCTCCAGCTGGTCCTTGCGTTCCTTGCCTTTACTCTGAGAAGGTTTCATTTCATTTCAGTTTGCCGAAACTATTATTTTTTCAATTCGATTCAGATGCGGCTTGTGCTGAATGTTTTGTGGTTTTCATAGAATATCTTGAGCATTGAATTGTCGTTTGAGCTTACTTCGATTTGATTTGAGCTTTTAGGAACAAAATTTGAACAGTATGGTCTGGTCTAATTTAGCTCTGCAATTTGTGTTGAAAATGCTAGAAGTTAAGAACAGGGATGAAATATATTGATTTGATTGATACTGAACGGAAACTGAAGTACTTCCATATTTGTTTGATATGGTGTTTGACTGAGCCCAGATGGGTAATATTTTGTTCTTATACTGCCATGATTAAGGTAATTTTGGATCTCATAAGATGTAACCAAATGACTATATGATAAGTTGCTTTCGTATTCTGCACTTCGCAGATTGAATATTCTTTTGTCTCCATGTGTCTTCCCTTATATTTGCGATCCCTTTGCCTTGTACTAGTTGTAAGTATTTGTTTCTCTTGTAGAAGGATGAGAAATATCGCTGCAGTGAGACCGGCTATCGCATCCCTTTGAAATGTGTGGAAACTAAACGTAGTTCGAAGGATGAAAAAGCAAAAGGTTCTCAAAAGAGTCGATCTACTCTGGGGATCTATCACAACGATGCAGAAGAACTCGGCACTTCTGTAAAGCATAGAAGTTTACTTGATGATTCAGCCACACTAGAGGATGGACCACAGGCTTACATTACTTACAGAAGCTGTATACCAGCAGTTAGTGAAGAGAAGCTGTCAGTGCTTGGTTTTGAGGTATGTAGTATCTTTTGATAATTGTTCTATATTTTGTTACCTTTTTGTTTGTTGATATCTGATAATAAAGAAGCTGGTTTTTTGTGGTAGTATGTTTGATTAAATTAGGTGATCAGAGTGTATTCAGAATGGAAGAGAGAGAACAGTAGCAAACTACATGATTATAGTTTTTTGTATTCATGTAAAGCTAGTTCAGCTATATACATTTCTTTTATGTCCATGTTAATGAATGTTTTATGAACTGCTGGGACAGGTGATTGTGCTGTTCTTCTTACTCATCAGCGGTTCGGTTGTATACTTGAGAAGAAAGCAGACTGTTTCCATGACCGGATTTGGAGCAGGGCGAATTCAGAGCAACTCTAGGTTTTAAACGGAAATCCTGTGCCACATCAGAAGCAGCTAATTCGAGGGGCATCCAACTGTACCATTTGCGGGCTTCAATTCTCCCACTGCATAGTATGTCTCGCATTGAGAGGATTCTTTTATCTTTTTTTTCTCCGTTCTGTAATATTTTGTTCATACGGCTTACAATTCTTTGGTTAGGAATGTAATGCAAAAACCTTGTTACTCTATGTTGGTCCATCTTGTCGCTTTCAACTATAATGCAGTTGTGCTAGAGGGTCACAGAAAATCCGAACGTTATAAGATAGTACAATATAATTTAGTATAATTCAGTTCAATGTGATCCAATACAACTAACAAGTGAACTTCAGGGGCTTTGGTTCGTGGCATTTGGAACTTGTTTTTGTGTTCTATAGCTAAACAATTTGTAGCAGCCCCGCCCATGAAAACATAGAGGGGTTGAAGTAGGCAATGCCCAATATGCGCTCAACTTATAAACTTTTGTGGTTTGTAAAATCAATATGTTTGAAAAATCAGCTTTTTCTATGTTGAAGTTGGAAAAATTACAGAACGAGATATACCATGTTATTGACGTTTCCTCTCAGAAAAATATACAAAGACAAGAGCCACAGGCCATTGGCGACTAATGTCAGTTCTCCTAACGAGTTTCTTCAGAAATTCAACAAAGCAGCAGCAGCAGGGACAAAAACTCCAAACAAAGAATCATGTTGACCATAACCCTCAACTTAAACAACGTAACTCAACTCCCCTTAAAGACACATCTACAGTAACATGGCAGAAAACATGGATTACAAACAGCCCCCTGTAAGATGCTGAAATTACAAAAAATAATCTGGAGTCTTGCGTGTGTTGTCGGGCTCAATTTGACGAGGGGCTGGGTCAAACTGCAGGAAATTCTGGTCCATGTTCTCCCCAATTTCCAATATTGCAGCCATATTCCCACACCTATAACAATAGTTTGGAGCGCTAAAAACAGTCACCACATTCTTGTCCTGGAACACAAGGTTACCATGAAAGTTAAACATACAGCTGAAAATGATGACACAAAATGAGAAACAAAAAATAATAATTTGTAGTGCCATTCGGGTTTTCACACCTGACACCAATTGTATCCTTCCATTACAAGCTGATGAGCTCTTGAAATGAGACTGAGTCCATTGGTATGGTTGAACTGAGCAGCTATATCCTGTCCAAATGTATAACCAGCACCACGTGGAGATATTCCCCATCCACAGCGGTCATCTGGATCAGACCACAAGAGATCGCACATTGGTCCTTCGTGTGGAACCTGCTCATGAAGAAACACGCCATGATGCAAGAATGACCAACGCAAGCTTGTAAGATGCAAAATTATGCAACCATACAAATGGAAACAGAAAATGCAAACATGATAACAGCAATCACAACCTCTGATCACTTATTTGGAAAAAAAATAATATATTACCTCCTGTATACGATCCAAGGCTCGGATATTGTCCAATGTGTCCAAAGATGGGGAAAGGCCCCCATGCAAACAGAAAATCTACAAGAGATACCAGAAGCTGTAAAAAATTAATACAACTAACTTGTCTTCAAGAAGTTCACCAAATTGTCAGCAAAAGATTTAACTTCACCTGACTCTCAATAAGGGCTGTGAGGGGAAGATAATCAAATAAATCGGTAAAGAACTTCCAGACATTGGCATTCCCATATTTTCTCAAGCACTCATCATAAAAACCATACCTGGAAAAAAGTGACAAATGTGAGACAAAAATGAATAAAACATAGGAGCAAACCAAGAATAAATTCAATCTCTCTGTCAATCAACAAAGATCTTGTCAAAGTTAATGGAGCGTGGCTGTTTCAACTATCAGCTTGTAGTATCTTCAAAAGCTTAATTTTTGCCACGCAGCCATGTTAAAAAAGTAATTTGTTAATTTAGCCTTAGTTCAAGTATCCATGGAACCCCATCAACCTCAGACATAAAATACTACGGATGGATTAGATATATCAGTATTTTACAAAATGTTACCATAAGGTAGGGGCCTTTTTTTGATAGGAACATGAGGTAGGAGCCTTGAAGGTCCCATATAACAATCCCACTGAAACACAGAAATATCGTCTACGCAGCACATATAACAATCCCACCTTTAGTCTGGAGTGCCAACAGTCCCACCAAAAGCAAATTATATCTACCTAATAAAAACAGGTATCTATTTGTTTTAAAAGAAAAAAGAAATCCATGTCAAAAGACGTTATCATCAAGAGATTAAGCCTAGGAAAAAGAATAAGGAAAAAAAAAGCTTAATACTAGCCTGGCATTTTTAAGAGTTCTCTACATTACTCTTTTGTGAAAATTTGTGAGTGAATCAACAAAACCAGACACAGTGAAAGGGACAAAATTGAAAACACTTAATATTCATACGAAATTTTAGTCACAGCTCCCCATTTTTTGATTGGTATAATAAAAATTAGTAAAACTATGAGCAACAGATTTGAAATATACTAAACATTCTTACACTTGGGTAATTTGCCGACTCTCGTGATTTCCTCTGAGAATTGTAATTCTATCTCTATAACGGACTTTCAGGGCCACCAGAAGTGTGACAGTCTCCACAGAATAGTACCCACGATCTGAATTTGTATGGCCAAGATGTTAAGAAAACAATACTACATAAGTAAACATAAAACATCAAATAGACGCATGTTCCACTGTCTAAAACAATGTTAACCCTGACCTAAGCTGAAGAACACAACACATAAAGCCCAGCACAAGCAATTTTTTCCACTTAGGGAAAATTATTCTTTCACATTTCAACAGATCTTAGATACATAAGAAAATTATAGAAGCAACAGAAACCCAGCTAACCAATTCCCATGATCACTATTGAAGTAAGATTGACCCTAGAGAAGATTGAATATATTACAGTGATTCCAACTCAACCATTATATTGCATAAACCGTTAACAAAACTACGGGGGAAAGCAAGTCAAGATCGAGGATATAATATCAAATTACACATACATCCATTTTCATCAAACAAAGAAGGAAAACATCATAGCATGTAGTACCGCACATGTGATTCAAATTCATAACAAGGATAATCCGCAACTCAATAGCAACGCCAAAACACAAATTGAGTAATTCTACAACAATCCGCATCCAAACACGACACGCAGAAGCCAAAAATATCTCAGTAAACCAATTCCAGAGCTTCATTCATTTCCATAAATAGATTAAAAGCGATCGGAAAAACGTTAAACGATCAAAACGAAAAAATAAATAAAGATAAAATAGAAAGGCAAAAGAAAAGAAGCATAAAGCAGTAAAGGAAAGAAAAAATAAAAAGAAACTGACCTACATAATCACCCATAAAAAGGTAATTAGTGTCGGGGGCGTTGCCTCCTATCCGAAAGAGCTCAATGAGGTCGTAGAACTGGCCGTGAATATCTCCACACACCGTAACGGGGCACTTCACCGGCTGTACGTTCCACTCCTCCACGAGGATCGCCCTGGCTTGCTCGCACAGCGTCTTCACCTCTGCCTCCGGCAACGTCTTGCACTCCATCAGATGCTCGATCTGACGGTCCAGATCCGCGTGAGCCGGCATCGTTCCACCACCACCGCCCTCAGATCCGATCGCCGATTTCTCAGATCCAATCCGATGCGCGCGAACTCAACGCCGGCGGAGCGATCTCGACGCAGTGAGCAATTTGTGAAGCGGCGCTAGGGTCGGGGTTCCGGATCGCGACGCTCGGAGCGAAACGAGTCGTTTTGGAGATCGGTCGAGTTTCGACCTTTCTTCTATCATTCCTCGCTCTGTGTTCTTTTATTTGTTTTAAAAGTAAAAAGGAGAAAAAAGGGAAATTAAATTGAAATTGTATTTATGTGAATGTAAGAAAAGACGAGGGAAATGACATGCGGGGAGGGAAATGACATGCGGAGAGGCAGGCAGGCAGGCAGGCAGCGAAATGAAATGAAACCCAGATGCAAATGAAAAAAGCAGATTAGAATTTTGCGATGTTTTTGTTCAATGGAATTCGTTACATGATTAGTTTTTTTTTGTTCTCTTTTTCTTTTTCGTCAATATTGTAAGGAAGAAACATTTTCTCTCTCCGGTGGCTCCGCCGAGTCAACATCATAGAGGACCGACACGTGTCAGCTCCAGCTGCTCTTTTTGGACTGTTCAACCTTCTAAGCCCTGCTGGCCCCCACCATTCGATATTTCTGTTTTTTTTTTCCTTTTTATTTTAAAATATTTTAAATTTTATGAACCAACTTTTGAAGGAGGCCAGGGGGATTGTTGATTAGTCAATAAAAAAAGAAACCAGGATGGAATTGTTTTGAGTTTATTTGGTCCCAAAAGAAAAACAGCAAAGAAACCAACCAAAGACAAAAGGGCATTGTTTCGAGTTTTATTTGGTCCAAGAAAAAGAAATCACACCAAAGATTCATTCAGCCTTTTCAAGGTAGACTTTTGAGACGTTTGACTACATTTATATGCTTGGTGGCGACATAATCTAAATGAATTGCCGACGGATTCGTGGCAATGCACAAATCGCAGGTTCGGTGTGTTTTCAAAGTATTTATATTTTTTTATTTTGTTTTAATTGATAAAAAGGAGATTCGAATTTAGAATTTCTCATCGACATTTAGAACAACATAACCACTAAATTAAGAGGTTCTTTGTTCAAGTATACGCTTGATTTTAGTTTTAAATTCTATAGACACACTTGTTAATTTCTCATGATCAAACATCTCTAAATGTCAAAATCAATTTTAATTAATAATAATATGAACCAATAAGAAGGGAGTAAGGAAAATTTTGGCTGTGTAAGTGAGATAATTTTTCTTTTTTCTTTTAAATTTTTGTTACTCAATAATTATTTTGAGTTCAGATAAAATTATTCACACAAAAATATTAATAAACGAGACCAAGATTGTTATATTGGGCTTAGGTAGGACACAAGGTCTAAAATTAAATTCAGCTAGTCTTGGGTCACAAGAAGCCTAATTACATGAATTGTAGCTTAAGGGAGGCCAATAACTTGCATATCCCTTGTTGTATATCACAATTTCTCTATCATATGATGAGAGAGATAGACAGATAACGGTATACAATGAGGAATAACCAAATTCAAGAGATAATAACTTTTTAAAAAATAAAATAAGTGATAGTATATTATTGATGAAGAAACAAAAGTACAAAGCAACTATGTGCCGAATGTGAGTAAAACTTATCCAGTGACCAAACATAA